TTTGTTAACATCTGACGTTTGATTTGAAATGCGGGTCTAAAGGCGGGTGAGGAGTTCTTTTGTTTTAAATCTATACTTACTTATAATTTTACAGATTTTAAAATAAAAAACACACATAAATACACACCTCTCATCATTCTCGGTCCATCTTATGCGACTCGAAATAATCCTGAAAACGCCGCCAATATTTAACCGAAAGTAGTACACTTTGTCTATCATTCATTCCAGACTCCCGTATTCTCACTTTATTTTGGTCAAGTAGGTCAAATATACACAGATTGCACAGACTTCTGCAAAATGCTGCAGTCAGAAAATCCATATTACTCCAATCTTTGCTGCCATTAACTCGTCTTGTGCCAGTATACAATGATACAATATTACAGTGTTATTCAAGACTATAGCTGCTTTCTTAGATCTGCCTTCCACCTATAAGCTCTTAGGATGTCCCGTTCGGAATGTCTTAACCTTTAGAAAATGGATCTGCTATGACATCTATTTCCCTGCATTCCCCTTTTTGCCTTAAAGGTTTAAATCACACTTTTTCCGAACACATCCAGTGAAGTGACGCAATTACCAGGTGAAGGACGTCACTACTCATTTTGACCAGAAAGCCACGCAGTGCTCCTGAGTAGGTCTGCAGGATCTCCACCAGGTACCCTCTCCTGGCTGCTTTACTTCGCAGCCTCCTGATGGTCCTCTGGAGTTGAGACTCGTGCGTCCCCTGACGCAATACAACTATGTACTGTCCGGGAATGCGCCAGGCTACCTGCACAGTAAAAATAATGCACCGCACATGTGATCTTCATGTCCAAGTGCACAGGAGAAATGTAGCATGCGTGCAATAAGTTGGATTTATATATATATATATATATATATATATATATAGTGTGTATTGCGCTGTTTTCACAATAATACATGAATAAGTATTATCTCCCAGCATGTGAGCGCACATTTTAATGAATCTGTATCTCACACTGGCAGCTTGTCAGGTACATCAGCAAAGATTGTTTGTTAAAATATTTGACCAAATATTTTACCCGTTTTTGGAATAATGACAGGTGCTGATGACTGAAGATGCGCATTAAATGCCTTTGACACAATCACTATGCCATTACCTTGTTGCACCTGATGAACTCAGCTGCCGGGTCGGTTCCAGTTTCAGGATCAGTCCTGTCCTCGCCGACCAGGTCCAGGATCATCTCGTCGTCCTCGGTGTAGTCCTGTGCGCGCACGGCCAGAGATGCGCACAAACATAAAGCCCAGCCAATCCAGGCTGAGGTGCAACGCATTCTTCACACCTCTTGAACTGTTCCCAGTAAAATGATAAAGAGAGCTATTAAATTACACCACTGATGTTTTTATGTTTTATTTCAGTCTGACTTATCCTGATGATAAGTCTCCAACAGCCGCGTGCCCTCTGTGTCTGGCAGTTAAGATAACGCCTCCAACAATCTATTCTGATTTTTTTTTTTTTTTTTT